TTAAACCAATTCAACCACTTCAAAATTATTTATTATTTCAAAAATACCAAATTATTATTTTTACCGAAAATCTAAAAACCGACCCAAAACCACTGGTCCAGAATTTGAGATATTAAACCTTTTCTATTACATAACCTAGATAACCAAAACGAGAACCCTAGGACTCCAAGTCAACCCCGTAAACTCCTCTGGACTCAACCATATTATAATGTACTAATTAATTAATTAATCCATAGGCGTTTTTCTCAATGCATTAGCAAACTTCCCACTCTTTGTACTTTAAGACTGAAAATACATTATCCAAAATATTGGATTAAATTATACACTAACAAAACACGTTGATGATACCCTAATCATAAAAACATATATATTAAACAAACCAAGTCTCCCACTAACCCTAAGAAACAATTAAGTGGTGATATTTACGTGAGATAGGCGTCACACAAACGCACGTGAGGCTAGAAAGAAGTAATATCATTGTTCAGTTCAAGCACAAAAAATAATAATAATATGAACGTACAATATCAAACGGTTAAAATTGTGATATTATTTAAATTTTTTTATGCTTGAGAAATATTTGTAAGCTTAAGACATCCAATTCAAAGCACGAGTTCGTGTTTGACACTTTCAAAAAGAACCCAAAAGCTAGTCAAGAAAAGACACATTGATTGAATTGCAAGAAAAAAATTTGAAGTACAGATGGTAATTACACGATCGCTTAAGATGTTTTGGAAGGAGAATGCGCAAACAATGACGTGATGTTGTCCTTTTAAGTTTCTAAGCAGTAGTTGAATTCATTTAATAGTCGATTTTTCAACCCAGAAAAGCATTTGGTCTCCCTATCAATCTTCGAGCTATACTAACAAACAGTAAACATAGAGAGAGAGAGAGTAGGTGAGCGACAATAACAGGGTTTGTTAATATAGTATGAAGAAATTATAAATTTAGACTCTTTGGTAGGAATAAACATCACATCTTCGGCCGCATTCCGGATTTCCAGCCGCCCAAATAACCTACTTGTTCACACTACTTTGCCTTTGGTCTAATTTTTGTGTTGCTCCACCTCTTTTGTTGAAGTTTTAGATGCTATTAACTTCCAAGACATCGTTTTGCAGTAAGTGCACCAGCTCCGGCGGTGGTTTCGTACATGTTTGAAACCCAATATGAGCACCCCGGCTCATCGTTATCATTAGAATTAACTATTACCATATTAAATTTATAGTAGAAATATATTCAAAGTTGAATAAGATATACATATGGTGAATATTCAACTGAAATGTATAATTCAATTAGATAACCTATATATGATTTACATAGTATGAGTTCAAGCCAAAATTATTCAAGTACTCAACCTTGCCATTAAGCCAATGCTTCATTGGCATTTGGCTCTGCGTCTTTATAAGGTTTCTCTAGCCAAAACCATTTGACATTGAATCCTACTTTTGATGAAGGAAATTGGAGATTAAAAAGAGGTGCAGCTGCTTCACTTCACTTCACATGGGGTTTCAATCGAGTATTGGTAGGAAATTGAATCCGACTCTGGTGTTAAGGTTCCGGTTAAAGATGAGGCCAGTTTCAACTTCAAGGCAAGTTAATTGTATTTGACAAATACAAGTGTGTAAACACTCATGTGAATGTTATCTTTAAAACAGAGTGGAGTTTTGGTGGAGGAATTGAATAGGGTGAACGCCGAGAACAAGAGGCTAACCGAGATGCTAACAGTTTTATGCGAACAATACTACGCTTTGCAGCACCAATTCAATCAAGTAAAGAGCAAGACCTCTGAAAACGAAGCTCCATCAAAGAAGAGAAAATCAGAGTGCGAGGATTACACGAACCACGTGATTGGATTCAGTGAGAGCAGCTCTAGCCATGAAGAGTGGAGCAAAAAGCCCAAGGAGTGTGTTAAACCCAAGATATCAAGGGTTCTAGTCCCCACAAATCCCTCGGATACTAGCCTGGTAGGTTCCCCGCTGTTCAATATTTCTTCCCAGATTGAATCTTCTAATGATGGATGTTTACAGATTGTGAGGGATGGATATCAGTGGAGGAAATATGGTCAAAAGGTCACAAGAGATAACCCCTGTCCGAGAGCATATTTCAGGTGCTCCTTTGCCTCAACTTGTCCAGTTAAGAAAAAGGTGAGTCTTGCTCCTGATTGTATCGGGTATTTGAATTCAGGCTGATCTTATGGGTCAGAATTGACAGGTCTAGAAACAATATTTGTTTCTGATTGTTGTTTTCGGTATTGGTTTCCAGGTGCAAAGAAATGCTGAAGATCCATCGGTATTAGTGGCTACATATGAAGGAGCGCACAACCACGACCATAATGCTCCGGCAGAACAAGGATCATTAAGCCCCAGCAACAACAGGGGTTCAACATCTGCCCAAACCAAAGCTTCAGCTCCTAGGGTCACTCTTGATTTGATGCAACTAGCTGGATTGGGGGATGATACCCAAAATCCAGCTCAACTAATTGATGCACCAGCTATCCACCAACTCTTAGTTCATCAAATGGCTGCTTCTTTGACTAGAGACCCTCATTTCACAGCAGCTCTTGCTGCAGCCATTTCAGGCCGAGTTGTAAGCCAAAATATGATAAGAAAGTCATAGTTTTTTGTATCGTCTTTTTTCTTGGCTCAGTTGAAAATGTGAAAAGAATATTCTATTGCAGTCCAGATATTATCAGAGCTTCCCTTCTCAATTACATACAAATCATAAGCCGTTCAATGAACAAATTAACATACAGAGACTAAAATGTCATTTTTGAAGTATAGGGACTGAAATGAAATGATACATATAGTACAGGGACTTGTACTACTCTGTCAATCAATTTCTTTATATTCAAACTTCGCAGCTGCCAGCTGATAACTTGTCTATATATACTTACTTTTCCGGTTTGGGCCAAAATAGAGATTCCCTCAAGGCAACGGGCCATCGTTTAAATGACTCGTGTTAATCGGTCATCACTCGTTTTCTTCTCGGAAAAGAAAAGAGAAAATTAACGAAGACGGGAAAGCTCAAAGTCCACGAGTTTGTCTACATCTGTCCACTAACGCCATGGACCTCATAACCAGCAAAGTTGGTGCAAAAAAACAAAACAAGAAAGTGATGCATTCAAATAATTAATTAAGATCTAAGTGCTTACTTCAGTCACATGATGTCATACCCATTGCGTTATCAATTCCCATATACACTTTATTAGATACCCTATGGCCATGATTATGAAACACTGAAAAAATCTCTTTGAAAACTAGAAAGGAAGGCTCAATTCGCTTTTCCAATTTGGAAAACATTTCCAGAACCCACTCTCGTTTTCATTGATATAAATCAATAAGATTTTGCTTTTAATTTCACCTACTGTCATGGATGCACCACACTTTAACAAAGGGAAGGTTGATTATTACTTTATGAATATTGTCATCTTTGATATGCATCTTCCTTATAGAGATTTTTGTGATAAATATTAGGAAAAATTTGCAGGTGGAAACAGAGTTGGAAAATTTGCAGAAAGAGAACCAAAGGCTTAGATTATTGTTAGAAGCAATGAGCAGCAAGTGTAACGTGTTTCACGAAGCCTATGTCCAAGAATCAAACAAGGGAGCAAGGCCTCAAGTTGCTAAGGCGTCACATGTTTTTGTGAAAACGGACCCTAGAGACAAGCTACTTTTCTTAGCATTACTGTGTGTAACAGCTAGATTTTCAGATAGTTAAAGATGGTTTTCAATGGAGGAAATATGGCCAGAAAGTTACTAAAAACAAACCCTCACCCGAGCTTATTTCAAGTGCTCTGTGGCTCCTGGATGTCCGGTCAAAAAGAAGGTATATAGTAAAATTATATGCTCAAACTGAGCTTGTTTCTTGAACTTGTTTTGGGATCTTTGTTTATAGGTTCAGCGATGCGTGGAGGATGAATTGTGATGGCAACATATGGACAGCACAATCATGATGTTTGTTCTACATCACCAGGAGGACAATCATTGTCTTCTTCGGCAACTAAATTTCCTTATGCTTTAGCCGCCGCAGTTGCCCGCTCCCGAACTGCTGGACTGCCTAAACCATCAATCTCATTAACTTGAAAAGAAACTAAAATGCTAGAGGTTATTATAAAACCCGGACTCTGGTCTGAGTTACCGACATACAACAATTTTGTTACTTTAACTACGCCTATTTCCGACAACATAATTCGGTTTCTTCATCACTAGACTTTCAAGGAATATGTTTTGTTCATCGTCAATTGAGTTGGCAAAGCCTCATTTCATTTTGTGAAATTCATTTCTTTATACTGATGAGTGATCTAATATAGTCAGTGGAACAGCCTGGCCAACTGGGAAGGTACTCTCAACCACCCTAAGCAGTATCGTGCCAGCTGGTCAGTCCGGTCCATGACAGTCAAAAGGCTATATACCGAGTTATATATTATCACTGTTAAAATTAGGAATACTAATCCAGAAATGAGTTGGCTTTTCGTAGGTTGGTAGCTCCATATGTACACTTGAGTGTTGAGACCCAACTTCATACAAGAGAAGATGCTATTATTTTGTATCGATGATAATCTACAACCAATTCTTAAAAAGTATTCACACTTGCATTCCTTTTGACTAAAATTTTACACAATGTTTATATATACATACTGAAAAGGAGAACAAAAGTAAAACTATTATATAAAGTTGTGTTCCTATATATTTACAACAAAGCTTTTTTGGCACCGTACAAGTAGCTTGAGAGGACCTAATATGAACCTCATCCATCGGTTCTGCTCCAAAACCAGAAAACATGTTAAAGAATTAATGCAGTTAAATAACTTACAATTTGAAATTAGTATTTGGACTCACCATTCACCACCTGCATGTATTTGAAATTTACAACTCCTCATTCTCGCGGTCTCATCTTAGACTACGCGTTCTTCTCCGATACATTTGTGCTCTAAGCTTCCAAGAGTTTTCCCTCCACTGAGCAAAACATTCAGAATGTCAGGTTAAGCGGTAGAATCCATCATTGAATAGCAGTGCTCGCGATTGGACCTTGTATCAAGTGCTGAGAGCTTCAGACTCCTTCATGGAAGTACTAATTTTTTGGCTTCTCATTTTCTGCCTCCTTAGCTTTCTTCTTATCATTTTCAAGTTGCTTGCAGTTTCCTCATGTGCTTTGACAAACATCCTCGAAAAGCTGAGCAGAGTAGCCATGACTATAGAAAAAGTTGCAGACAAAAGGGAAAGTGATAAATCTGAGTAAAATACACTCTAGAGATAAAACTGCAGCTGAGATTCACAAGGGTGCTAATAGTTTTCCGAAAGCACAAATTACTTAAGATGGGAACATATTAGCACAAATGCTAGCTATGATATCCAAAGTAGATCAACTTTACTGTAGGCATCCAAAGTGACCTTGATAGCATCCTGATGCGAAAACAACAATTGGTTATAGATCAAGCAGGGGTCACAGCCATCATTTAGGACAACATCAGTCAAATTATTGCTTTCGGGGATAAGTAGAAATATTAGTACCATAAAAGAAAACCATTATATTTCCATTATCAAAAGTAACGAAGTGTAAACAAATCAGTTGACTTGATAAACTTTTGGGTCCTAAAATGATGCAGGGTTAAACATTAATTGGACTTGTTAAGACCAAACAACCACCTTGCTCAAATGGGCAACGTGCAGGATCTTCTCCAAAATAATGAGCCAATGCATCTGCATTTTTACCCTGAAGGCATCAATTTAGAGATGCTTATGAATTTGTTTTCTTGGTGGCACATCAAATATGCAAGAATAAAGCCTCCTTAACATAATGCATACCACGTAAGTATGAAGCGCAGTCAAAGACTTGACTTCCCCTTCAGCAAAACTAAGGAACTCCTTTACAGTCTGAAGATTATATAAATAAAAGCATTTACTGTTAGAGAAATATGAAGAATAAGAAAAATGAGAATTAGAGAGAGCACAAGTTATTTGAAGACTGATCCAAACGAAATATGATTCCCGAGACAAGTGATAGAGTGTATAGTAGCTCAATGGTCATGGTACTCTTGATTAGCACTTGAACATTTTGAAGGCTGAAGAAGTGCTGCCTTTAGGCACATAGGCGTCAAAACGAATGAATATTTGGCAAAATAATTCGGAAGGCTGTTCACAGCAGTCCATTTTTATCAAAAGCCAACGCTGAATCATAGACTATTGCATGAGATTAAAGCTCAAGAGATTTTGATCAAAGTCTCGGATCAAAACAGCTCTAATCAAGTTTCTTTTAACCAATGTTGAGTTAAACTTCCCATTTAGCTTCTGCAAAGGCCAAAACTGACCTAATAATTACTAAAGATCCTGATTGAGAACTTTAATGCACCATCTTGTTCCTCTTTAAAGATTATGTATTTTAGTTAAGGGAAGGGGCGCGGGGGGAGAGCGGGTTTGGAGACTTGGAAAGCCAAGATTGTGGTGTCCATAACAGGCACTGCATGAAATATAAGAAGAAAATCCAACCAACATGTAAATGTGCAGAACCTGATTGATATGCAAAATAGCAATTTAATATATAGGAAATACCTTACAAAATGTTGCAGACACTGGACCATCCTTTTCCGAGGCAGCTAGTTCTTGGATGACCTTCTCCAACCCTTTACTAATGGCTTGCATCTCGTCTGCCAAACATTTCAATTGTACCTGCATGGTAATCAATAATTTTGCTTAACATCACATGGAAAAGGTTAAGCAATTTAAATATGACCTGAAAAGGCCATAAAAATCTTACCTTTGTTGCAGATTCCAAAGTCGCAAGGTCTTTTGGAAAATCTATTAATTCTGGCAACTTTTGGCTCAGGACCTAAAAGTTAGAGGCCGTAAAGAGTAAAGTATAAATCGACATTCTCACATATAATAAGGTATGGTTTGCAATGTCAATAAAAGCATTTTCTACAATGGCAATAAGTTAATGATTGCAAAAGTAAAACAACCCAACATACCATGCATTTTCTGCAATAATTTTCATGATATTAGTAACCTTTAAATTTGAAAATTAGTCTTCAACAAAATTGAAAAAGGATGCAGTGAATGTCTGCACGCATTCAAGCATTTTACTTGGTACAATAAGACAGGCATTCCATCTTGAAACATAAGTGTAGGAGTACAAGAATATTCAAGTTATTCAAACAAATTTAACAGGAAAGATCAGAATCAAGAAAATTAAGGTAGATGGTCTTGTACCTTACAAAGATAATGCATGAGAGTCATCTTTTTATTCCGAGCTCGTGTATCTGTGAGTTTAAGGAGACTATCCAACCGAAAACCAACAGCAGAACCTGTGGGGACGAACCATAAATTACTGAAATGTTTGGAGCAAATTGATGCTTCTTGAAAAATTTGTACAGATATGACATCTAGGGATTCGATTTCTATTCTTAGCAGTTAAGGTAAAAATACAGGATTACAGGACCGTGTTAAACATTTAAGAGACTCAATTAACAATAAGGAAACAGTGAAAATACACAACTCATTCAAGAAGAATAACAGAAGGCAAATCAGCAGTGAAAAGACTGACCTTGTTTCCCATTATCAAATTTATCAAAGCAGAATGGGATACAAAAAGATGACTAAAATAAGATAGTTCTTCATCTATTAATAAAATATACCTCCTCAGTTAAATCACTCACCCCTAGCAGTTCCTTGGTTCAAAGCATTTCCCAGAGAAAGAATAGTTTGCATGATCCTTTTCAATTTGACCGAATTCCTCACCTGGTGAATGCATTGGTGAAATGGTTTAAATGACTAAAATCTTCAGGAGAAATAATACCTTTAATTGGAAAAGCTAATTTATGTCCAAAAAAGCTTAACTTGCCTCTCCAACAGCAGAGTTTACAATGTCCAAACTATTTCTAAGATCAGAAACCTGCAAAGGTGCAAGAAGTACCAATTAGGTGACAACAACAGTAGAAAGCATCTCATACCAATCTGAGTACACAGGTTCTCCTCATACCTGGGAATAAAATTGTATTTTGAATAAGAAAACTCTTAGCTTAGACTCTACTGGTGGCACTGTCATCAATTCTAGGAAAAACTGTCACCAAATACTGAGCAAGTAATCAGATTATATGCAAACTAAATTGTTAAAGAAAAGTGTACAACCCAAAGATACTCTGCTGACCTGTTCGCGTTTTCCCAAGTTTTCCCTGTCTCCCGTATGACCCTTAAAATAAAAATATAATCATCACCTCAAACGTGATTATTTGCATAATGTACACGATGCCATCTACTCTGTTATGAGCATCTAAAAGTCTTACAATCTGAAAACTATTACTTTAAGAGCACAGATAGAGAATAATAGAAACGCATATATTCAATACCTTGAGTAATTCAATCTCTTCTTTTGTAGGACAAAACTTAATAAGGTTCTCAATCTGATCAGGGTCTAATGCTGTATCATCTAAGGCAAGGATTGCACTCTGCAACATAGTGGAAGAGAAGCACAAATGTAAAACACCAAATGAAGAATATTTCAGGGCAACAAATAAGTAGTAGACAAAGGTGAAGTGTAAAGCAGGTTAATTCAATAAACGTTTTCTTGTTTCTTCTTGAGATTTCTAAGCTTTGCATTTCTGCAATGCTTGACATTTATCATATTCATATAATTTCACTTCTATAATTCATCGATAAAAGAATATATTTGAATTTGCAGATAAAAATATAAAAAAATGTTAACTACATGATTAATCATTTATGCTTGTGTTTTGCCAATTTCAAAAAAAACATAATAGATGGTAACTTTCGTTTTTATTTAATTAATATGTGGTCACCATGAGTTAACATTTAACAGATTAGTTGACGTGGTAGTTAAATATTTTAATATAATCACACATTCGGTCCATATTATTTACATATTATCTCAATTTAGTCATATTTTTAAAGAAATTAAAATAAATTTAATCATTCAATCGAATGATGCCATGTGTCACTGGTGCCACGTGTCACTGGTGCCACATGTCGTGCACGAGTTAACAATTAACAGATTAGGTGACGTGGTAGTTAAATATTTTAGTATAATCACATATTTGGTCTCTATTATTTACATATTCTATCAATTTAGTCCTAATTTTAATAAATTAAAATAAATTTAATCCTCCAATCGAATGATGGCTCGTGTCACCATTCGGATGGAGGATTAAATTTATTTTAATTTACTAAAATTAAGACTAAATTGTGAAAATATGTAAATAATAGAGATCAAATATGTGATTATATCAAAATATCACGTCACCTAATTTATTGATTATTAAGGACAGTTAACCCGAAGTGACATCTTAATTAAATAAAAACTAAAATAATCATATATTATGTTTTTTTAAACAGTAAGGAAAAGTGATCAAAACACACGTTAACCCTATAAAAAATACAAATACTCAACTCGTCATCGTCCCTCACTTTTAAATTTTAAACCCTAACAGGTGAGAAAACATGCATGCATGCTTATCCAAAAAAAAAACATGCATGCATGGTTCCATTAAGACAAAAGCATAGCTGGGGAAGTGGTCCTCGTCTTGAAACTCTTAACTAACGATACTGCCGCTTATCTTTTGAATCAAATTCATGCACTTCTTACAACATTATCGAACTAACCTACTATGTTACGTACAACAAATTCGTGTTTGGTTGTTGAGAAACATGCTCCACTTATACTTACTGGCAACTTATGTATTTATACATATATATTTTCTCTCTATTATTGAGTTTTCTTGTCTTCTCTTTTCATTATTATTTGGAGCCTAATCTTTATTTCTTAATTACATTGTCATCCGTTTTTACCGTAACATCGAATCGAATAAACTTTTTCCCACCATTCTCAGGGAGAAAATCGAATTTTCTTTTCTGGGTTTTCTCTATTTTTTTCTTTCTTTTCTCTTCTTTTGGTATGGGAGTACTCGAGAGAATGGCAATGAAGTCAACTATGGTAGGAATCCATTGTTGCTCACTAAACTTTTTGAACTTCTTTTAATTCATTTTTCCTCTGATGCAAAAGTTAGTGTGGATTTTTCTTGATATCATGTCTGATCCTGCTGTATTTTGACCTATGAGATTCCTTACTAGACCCTACTTGTCTGCAATCAGTTAACGAAATTCCGACATCGTGGTAAGAAGTTCGATATATCTTCGATACTGATATAGTTCTATGTTGTTTGGTCCTGCCACAACAAATCAAGAAATGATAAGGGAGAAATCCTTGAGATTCCACCCTGTTCGATGATGAATTGGTGCAGCACAAGTACAAGTCAAGACAGACGGTTTATGTAACTCCAACTGTTGGCTTTGGCGTATTTTCAAAGGTCCATGTTCAATGTGATGGCCATGGAATATGTCCAAGAAAATCTAAGCATCGATGTGACGGTCGGTTCGAGGGCGATGCAAACGGTATATGTTCGTTAGAGAAACGAGCGATGTTACGATAAATGTGAACCCGAAGTTTGATTCAGTTTATTCTAGTTTGAAGTTCGAATTCGAACGCATGTGAAGAGATGATGGAGGTTTTTTAGTTTGTGGCCGTGTTGGGATGTTGAGGCCATGTGCTTCAACCAGTTTTTGAAAGTAAAAAGTTTTCACTTTCTCCCTTGTATCGTGGGAGAAGATTGGTGTTGGCTTTTCCCTTTCGACTTTAACCCGACTCGACTTTAAAATAATCGAGACTCTTATAACTATCGAATATGATGATGTTTCTTAAAAAAAACAAATAGTTACTCAAATAACTCGAAAATAAATGAGAAAATGAGCTTGCAAGTTACAACATGAAGCCATTAACAATGGCTTGATTACTTTTCAACCAAGTAGTATCATACACCGGTAGTTCCTCTCTGTACCTTCCGACTCCGATGAGATGATCCAACTCGAAAAGATCTGAACTCGAACAACTCAGTGCATCGTCTTCTTCATCTTCATCATCATACTCTTCGATAAACCGTCTCAAATCCATTTTCCCAATACCCCTTCTTTGATAGCTCCTCACGTAATCAATTGCTTTACAGCACACTGCAGATTCTTTTTTCTTCAACTCCTCAGTTCTTGAAGAAACTTTAAGATTCCTTTGAACAGTTGAAGAGGACATTAATCTGGGATCTTCTTCATGAATGCATTTATGCCCACAAGGTCTGCAATCTTCATCGACAGTGACACTAACTGGGCAAAATTTAACTGACCTTTTAGTACCATTAAGTCCATTACTGTACTTGCTATTACTATTAGCTCCTGAAGAAGGTGTTTTGCTCAAACAAGACCTGGAGAATGAAGAGGGTGATGAAGCCGTCGATCTCGATTTTCGATGGAAACCGACATCGCCGGAAACACCATCAGAGCACATCTTCACTTTCTTGGCATTGGCATTGAAGATGGAGTTTAAGAAGCCGGTGATCCGACCACCGGGGGAAATCGGTTGCTTCACTTTCTTCAATTCACCATAGATTTTCAATGCTTTCAGCTTGGTCTTCGTGAGCCCTCCGCCACTTTCTCACCTGGCCTTTTGCACCCCGTCGACGTCGTCGAACCGCCTACATTTATCGTACTTAACCGGCTTCGATCATCTCGATTTCTCTCCATAACCCGACTCGGCTTCGGACGACGAGAAGACTCCACCTCCATGGGAGCACCGCTGCTCTGTTTCTTAACAGGGTTTGCACTTGTTTTCTCCCCGTAACGGCACAATGCCGGCTCGTTTCCGTCGCCGGAATCGTCGATGGATCGATAAATGGCATCGAGAAGGGTCGAAGAGAAAGAAGGGGTTCTTCTATGCATGGTGTGTTCTTTCTTCTGCATAAACACACGAGCACACAATCCAAGAACAAGGGAAACAGAGATTTATACAGGGAAAAGAATTGGATGAAAGAAGGAGAATTAAAAGAACAGGGACCGGAAATGGTTAATTTAAAGCTTTGATGTCTGGTCAGAGAGTGTCAAAAGCTGCAAAGACAAAGATTAAGAAGAGACATGCAAGAAGATCATGTGAAACAAGGAGAGAAAGGGAATACAAATGATAGAATATTCTTTCAATATGAACTGGACTGTTTAGTTTAGAGACTGTATATATAATATTTTTATGTATAAATATTTGTTTTCCCATTTGTGTACGGCACTGAATAGTGAACGACGCGTAAAGAAGTGGATTTAAATTTTATGAACTTATTTGGCTTAATAATTTTTTAGTGTCTAAATTATATCTCAAAATATGATTTGGGACTTAAATAATTATTCTACTAACAAGGTGGCTATAATTATTTTTTTTTAGTTTTTTAATAATGAAAATATCATTTTTAAAAAAAAATTAAACCTCACCTCGCGTCGTCTCTCTCCCTTCCATCTCCCACAGCCAACAGTGAAGGATTACCATCGGTTAGGTCTTGTTCTGAGCAGGATAAGGAATTCAATGGTGACAACCGAGTAACGTACGAACGGTTGTAGTTGTCAAGATTATAAAAAAACAACAACGAAAAACCTAAAAATCTGATGATTTTTTATGCGTTTTTCACGACGTCTAATTAGTTTCATAGTGGGTGGGGAACTGGATTTTGATCATCACGGCGAGACGGTTATGATGGTGTCAACGGTGACGATCACGGGCCGATGGTGTCGATCAATGACGAAAGATGTAAAATTTGAGGGGTTTTTAATTATAATATTAAGCTATTTAAATAAAATAAATTTTGAAATTTTATATGCGTGACACCGTGTCAAATAACAATTAAATTTATCAGCAGTTACGGTCCAAGCAACTAAAAGTGTAACATTGGAAACATTAGACACTTATTGTTAGCAAAAAATTCTTTAACCACAAAATCGTATTTTGAGATATAGTTTATACACTAAGAAGAGTATTAAGCCGAGTTATTTTGAAATTTTGGATTTTAATCTAGTTGATTTTTATTTTTGAAGGATAAGGTCGAATCTAGATCGATTAAAAAATCTTTGATCTAACCCGACACGAAATAATAGTATAATTATCTCTTGTATATTTACATATAATTGTAACAATATCTCTTTATTTTTTAATTAAGTCCATATTTTACCTAATAAAAATAAATTTTTTATATATTTGTGTCGCGTTAGGTCAGTTGCTAATTTTAATTTAAAAATTATGTCAAATTTTGAATTAGATGAAATCTTCTTAAATTTAAATCGAGTCAAGTGAGAGATTAAGAGGACATGATATTTGGACGAGTGTTGGATTGAGAGATATAATACTCGAATTAGGTTCAGATTAATAAAAAATTCCGATCTGACTTTGACATCAAAATTGATAATTAGATCAACAAAAGGATCAGAAGTGAACTGGTACTTTAGTTTGAAGATTCAAATGCATTTTAAAATTCAAGGTCTAAATTATAATTAAACTCGTAAATTAAAGATGTTTGGCGTAATTAATCCAAAAAGGGGGTAAAATTAAAGAAAAAGGGAGAATGGGTGTACTTTGTAGTTGATGTAACCGAGGAAAAGAGTGTGAGAGTGCCGCGCGTGCGGGCGGGAGGGGGAGCCAGGCTGTTGCAGGTTTGATAGCTGGGTAACTTTTAAGAACTTAAGGTGAACTTGTAAGAACTAAAGGTGAACTTTTATCATTTGTTTTTACCAGTTTGATGATGTTTTCGA